CCAGGAGAGAGGTGAAGGTTTGGGACAGAGGCCAGGAAGGTATAAGATGTTGAAGAGTAACAAAACCAGACAAAATGTAGCAACTCTAAAAACACAGGAAAGGGTGCCTTTAGGAAAGAGTGCCATCAGTGAAAGAACATTTCAGAAGTCCAAAAAGGGACAAAGGAAACAAAAAGATCATATTAACCAATTGACTAGAGATATTAAAACATGACAACAACAACAAAATAAACAAGCAAAAAGATACCTGCAGCCTAAGATACTTGCAGAGTTAAGTGTGGGTCTTCCACAGAGAGCCTCAAAGAAGCTTCAAACTCAGGAGTTGGCATATTCCTATCCCTCTGGCCACAATTAAAGAACGCAAACATGTTGTTGTTGTTATGTGCCATCGAGTCGGACTCGACTCATAGTGACCCCTCCTTGGGTTTCTAAGGCAGTATCACTATGGAAGTAGATTGCCCCATCTTCCTTCTGAGAAGTGGCTGGTGGGTTTGAACTGCCAACCTTCTGGTTAGCAAACATACACGGCAATAATCAAGGTAATTCAATAAACAAGGATATCCTGACTGCTCCCACCACTCATCTGTCAGTTTGTTACAGTGTGGTGGCTTGCATGTTGCTGTGATGCTGGAGGCCATGCCACTGGTATTTCAAATACCAGCAGGATCAACCATGGTGAGGAAGTTTCAGTGGAGGTGCCAGACTAAGACAGGATGGGAAGAAGGAAGGAACCATCCACTTCTCAAAAGAACTGGCCATGAAAACCTTATGAATAAAGTGAAATACTGTCAGATATAGTACTGGAAAACTTTACAAATAGCCCTGAAACTTTGTCCAACATAATGCCGGAAGCGGAGCCCCTCAGAATACAACTGAGGAAAAGCTGCCTCCTCAAAGTAGAGACAATGATGTAAATGGAGTAAAGCTTTTGGGACCTCCATTTGCTGATGTGGCAGGACTCCAAATGGAAAAAACAGTTGCAAACATTCATTAAAAATCAGAATGTGGAATGTACAAACTATGAATCTAGGAAAATTGGAAGCTGTCAAAAATGAAATGGAATGCATAAAGATCAATATCCTAGGCAAAAGTGAGCTGAGATGGACTAGTTTTGGCCATTTTGAATCAGACAACCACATGATATACTATGCTGGGAATGACAAATTGAAAAGGAATGGTATAGCATTTATTATCACAAAGAACGTTTCAACATCTATTCTGAAGTACAGTGCTGTCAGTGATAGACATACAATCAAGATATGTTGATTATTACTGGTGACTGGAATGCAAAAGTTGGAAACAAAGAGGAATCACCAGTAGTTGGAAAATATTGTCTTGGTGATAGAAATGACACTGGTGATCTCATGATAGAATTTTTCAAGACCAACAACTTACTCACTGCAAATACCTTTTTTCAACAACATAAACAGCAGCTATACATGTGGACTTTGCCAGATGGAATACACAGGAATCAGATAGACTACATCTATTCAAAGAGGTGATGGAGAAGCTCAATATCTACAGCCAAAACAAGGCCAGGACTGATTGTGGAACAGACCATCAACTGCTCATATGCAAGTTCAAGTTGAAGCTGAAGACAATTAAAGCAAGTCTATAAGAGCCAAAATATGACCTTGATTATATACCACCTGAATTTAGAGACCATCTGAAGAACAGACTTGACACATCGAACACCAGTGACCAAAAAGCAGATAAACTGTGGGATGAAATCAAGAACATCATCCATGAAGAAAGCAAAAGGTCATTAAAAAGACAGGAAAGGAAGCAAAGACCAAAATGGGTGTCAGAATAGACTCTGAAACTTGCTCTTGAATGGAGAGTGGCTAAAGAAAATGGATGAAATGACAAGAAAAAAAGCTGAACAGAAGATTTCAAAAAGCAGCCCAAGAAGACAAAGGCAATTACTATAATGAAATGTACAAAGACTTGATGTTAGAAAACTGAAAGGGAAGAACAAACTCAACATTTCTCAAGCTGAAGAACTGAAGAAAAAATTCAAGCTTTGAACTGTAATATTGAAAGATTTGAAAGGAAATATATTGAATGATGCAGGAAACATGAAAAGAAGATGGAAGGAATACACAGAGTCACTGTACTAAAAATAATTGGTCAATGTTAATCCATTTCAGGAGGTGGCATTTGATCAAAGACTGATGGAAGGGTTCTTGATCTTGGTATTGAAGGAAGAAGTCAAAGCTGCACTGAAGGAACTGGCCAAAAACAAGGCTCCAGGAATTGATGGGATACTCATTGAGATGTTTCAACAAATGCATGCTCCACTGGAGGTACTTACTCATCTATGCCAAGAAATTTGGAAGCTATCTGGTCAACTGACTGGAAGAGATCCATATCTATACCCATTCCAAACAAAGGTGATCCCACAGAATGTGGAAACTATCAAACAGTTAATCATTAATACCACATTCAAGTAAAATTCTGCTGAAGATAATTAAAAAACGGTTGCAGCATATATTGACAGGGAATTTCCAGACATGCAAGCTGGATTCAGAAGATGTGGAACAAGGGATATCATTGCTGATATCAGATGGATCTTGGCTGAAAGCAAAGAATACCAGAAAGATGTTTACTTTTGTTTTATTGACTATGCAAAGGCATTTGACTATGTAGATTATAACCAATAATGGCTAACATTGAGAAGAATCCAGAACACTTAACTGTGCTCACGAGAAACCTATACATAGACCAGGAGGCTGTCATTTGAACAGAACAAGGGGATACTGCATGGTTTAAAATTAGGAAGGGAGTGTGTCAGGGTTGTATCCTTTCACCATACTTACTCAATCTGTATGCTGAGCAAATAATTTGAGAAACTGGACTACATGTAGAAGAACACAGCATCTGGATTAGAGGAAAACTCGTTAACAACTTGCAATATGCAGATGACACAACCTTGTGTGCTGAAAGTGAAGATGACTTAAAGCATTTACTGATGAAGATTAAAGACTACAGTGTGCAATATGGATTACACCTAAACACAAAGAAAACAAAATTCCTCACAATTGGATCAATAAGCAGCATCACAATAAATGGAGAAAAGATTGAAGGTATCAAAGATTTCATATTACTTGGTTCCACAGTCAACATCAATGGAAGCAGCAGTCAAGAAATCAGACTTCATATTGCACTGGGCAAATGTGTTGCAAATGACCTCTTTAAGGTGCTGAAGAGCAAAGACGTCTCTTTGAAGACTAAGGTGCACCTAACCCAGGCCATGGTATTTTCAATCACCTTATATGCATATGAAAGCTGGATACTGAATAAGGAAGACTGGAGAAAGGTTAATGCATTTGAGTTGTGGTATTGGCAAAGAATACTGAAAGTACCATGGACTGCCTGAACAACTAACAAATCTGTCCTGAAAGAAGTGGAACTGGAATTGTCCTTAGAAGTGAGAGTGGCCAAACTTCATCTCACCTACTTTGGTCATGTTGTCAGAAGGGTCCATTCCCTGGAGAAGGATATTATGCTTGGTAAAGTAGAGGGTCAGTGAAAAAGGGGAAGGCCCTCAACAAGATGGATTGACACAGTGGCTGCCACAATGGGCTCAGTTATAGCAAGGATTGTGAGGCTGGTGAAGGATCAGGCAGTGTTTTGTTCTGTTGTGCATAGGGTTGCTATGGGTCAGAGCCGACTTGATGGCACTTAACAACAACAATCCTGACTGCTCCTTTATCCAAACAACACACACACACACACATACAGCACAACTGCAACTTTTATTCTCCTGTCATTGTCTCCATATAAAGTGGGCATTCTGATGGAAAAGGGCTCCTAATGAGGGTGTAGAGGCTTAGAAGAGAAGCTGTGATTGAAACTCAGGGGCCTCAACATCAACCTGGAGAGGGAAAAGAAGAAAAGTAACTGTGCCAAAGCATCCCTAAAGTAGTACACTCCTTTCTTTAATAACTGTTGGATCAGGACTGAACCCTAAATACCTGTACAGTCTCTGGCTTGAGTGTACCCAAAGGGTTTGTTTTCATTGGAATGATCCACAGAACAGTGACCTGCCTAAACTCTCTCACTGGCTTTAGTTATGCTCTTCAGTAGCCTAATGCCCCTGGGCATATCATGCTCTCCCTATTGAAGTGGACCTGTCCCCAGCTCCTGCCATCATCATTCCAGTGCTTATCTGGAACAAATGGAGCTTGTGCATCCTTTTGCACAGCTCCATAGAGCGTTGAATATCTTTGCTGGGTGGGTAGTTTCTTAAGCTGACTTGTGTTACCCAGCCTTGCACCATGCTCAGCCTCAACTCACTCTCTTCCATCTGGTATGGCTGCTCCCGACACATCACTTAATTCTGTTATGACAACATTTTCTCCTTCCACCTCTTCTACTCCCTCTCCCTCTCCATTCCCCAGTCTCCTAATCAGTCAACCCCTTCACAACTGTGTTGTCTCCTACTCAGTTTAAGTCATCTGTTTCAACCTAACAAAACTTTATGCTAGAAAAATAAGAAAAATTTAAAAGCAGAGTTACTGAATATATTTTTAAATTACTATATTTTGTTGTAAGGGTGATAGTTTAAGTCTTATAAGGACTAAAATCTAATGTGAAGAGATTTACTTTTCTTTTTATTGATTTTAGAAAACTATCACTAAGTTTACCCTAAGATTATTTAGAGGAAAAGCAAGAGAAAGTGGGAAACTTTCAAAACAATATGAAGTGCATATTGATTTTCTGACTTCTTGATGACCTTTTTCATAAACCAAAATAAAAGATTTTGATAGATATAGGATATTAATAATTTAAGAAGAAATACTAATAGAAGACTAATTTACATTTTTATCTAAATTAACAATTTTTAAAAACACGTATCTGATGCCAGAGACTCACATTTCACAACACGGCCTTAAAGTACTAAGACCTCTCATTAAATCCCATGATTCAGTGATTTGTAAAAAACTGACTTAAAACAACAGTGAAGAGATTTACAGATTGCTACTCATATCTAGTACCTTTTTCTTCGATTTAGGAGGTCATAAAGCTGTCCACAGTAGATTTCATAGAAACTGATCCATACAAAGAGGTGCCTTCTTGGCTGGGATACTTCTAGTTGTTTGAAGATATCTTTAGCAGCCAAAGCATACAGTCCTGGGTTCTGATGAGTTCCTATCATGGTGTAGGTCTTCCCAGCACCTGTCTGTCCATATGCAAAGCACGTGGCATTGCCTCTGGGGAAAGAATCATTTGTATCACTTATGCATATTAAGATAAGTGCTAATCTACATACAGATATTTAATAACAAAACTCAGGTAGAAACATAAATCTTTGGCAACAATTATAAATGCATAATGTTTTAAAGAGAGGGGCTTTACATTTTAAAAAGACAGAAAGAGGAGAAACATTCTCAAAGCAGTACATAGATTTTCTTGTAGAATTTTTTTTTTTTTTTTTTTTTAACAGAACTGCTAAGTCCATAAGACAACTCTAGAAGATAAGGAAGGGAGCCCTGGTAGCATAGTGGCTAAGGCACTTGACTGCTCACCAGAAGGCTGGCGGTTCAAACCCACCAGCCACTCCTTGGAAGGAAGGTTGGGCAATCCTACTTCCGTAGTGATAACTGCTTTGGAAACCCAAGGAGGGGTCGCTATGAGTTGGGGCCGACTTGACAGCAAATAACAACAACTAACAGAAGATAAGGAAACAAGTACTTTGAAGAAACCACTTAGCCACTAAGCATTTATCAAGTTCCTACAGGTGCTTTAGAGGATTCTAGAGAAAATTTGGTCTTAAGTAGGAAAGATAAGATTTGCACAAAAAGTAATAGATAATTAAAATAAAGACAATAATAGGAAATCATAGGGTAAATAGGTTAGTAGTTATTACTTATAGGAATATTAAGAAAGTTTAGACAAAGGTAAAATCAATGTAAGCAAAGTTTTTCAAGAAGGATTCACCAAAGAGTAGGGAATTAGGCTGGGTCCTGAAGGGAGAAATTAAGAAAGCAGAGAATCTCCATTGTGGTAGGAATAGCACAGAGGCTGCAGTGGGAGAAGTGGAGGCAGCCACATTAAATCTGGAGGTAAGAAACTTGGGTTCTGGTCTCAGTCCTGCCATTAACTACATGACCTTGGTGAATCACTTTACTTCTTCAGTGCTTCAGTTTTTCACATCAGTAAATTAATGGGTCTGAGATTACTTGATTTCTAAGATCCCTCCAACTCTAATGTCTTACGATTTTAAGTGAGAATCACTATTACTGTTTGTGTACCTGTGTGTGCACACAATCTGTATGAGTTAAGGACAGGAGAACTGGGACATCAATCTGCTGATCACAGTATATTTTAGGGGGAGTTGGAGGCCAAGGTCACCTGAGTATTGTGGAGTCCAGCTATGCACTGCTAAGTAGAGAGTGAACATAGTGTTAAGTAGCAAGTAACCACTACAGACACTTGAACATGAAGTACAAAGGCTGATGATAAAAGTAGCTACTTGTAGCAATTAAAAAAAGGATAATTATGGATGAGAATGCAGGAAGCCTGGAGGTTGGCAGGGAAATGAGTATGTAGAAAGGACCCTGAAGCCAGATAGAAAACAAAGAAAGAATAATATGACAAGAATGTTGTGGATTGAACTGTGTCCCCCCAAAATATATATCAACTTGGCTGACCATGATGCTCAGTGGTTTGGCAGTTACATAATGATGTAATTTGGCAGTTATGTAATGACATAATCATCCCTCATGATGTGATCTGATGTGATCAGCCAATTAGTTCTAAAAGTAGAACTAATCCTGTTCCGAAGCAAGGGGAGTTTTCCTGGGTTGTGGCCTGCATCATTTTTTATCTTATAAGAGATAAAAGGAAAGAAAACCAAATACACTGTTCCTCAAGTAGATTCAACTCACAGCGACTCATCCTTTGGTTTCCAAAGTGTTATCTCTATGGAAGTAGATTGCCCAATCTTCCTTCTGAGGAGCGGCTGGTGGGTTTGAACTGCCAGCCTTCTGGTAAGCAGTCAAATGCCTTAGGCACTATGCCACCAGAGCTCCTAAAAGGAGAGAAAGTGAGTAGAAAAGGAGGTATCTCAATATCACCAAGAAAGAAGAGGCAGAAGCAAAGCACACCCTTTGACCCCAGGTTCCCTGCGCTGAGAACCATCAAGACCCAGGGGAACACTGATGCTAAGACACATGTATATCTACAAGGAATACCAGGCCCACAGATGTTAAAAGGAGACAAAAGCTTCCCTTAGAGCTGGTGCTCTGAATTCAGACTTCTAAACTGTGAGAGAATAAATTTCTGTTTGTTAAAGCCATCCTTTATGGTATTTCTGTTATAGCAGCATTAGATAACTAAGATCTAGAGGAATGATGGAAGTGTGAGAATCAAGAGATGAGAGCTAATCAAATGTAATCTGCTTGGAGGAGAGACCCTGTATTCCTACTCTTTTTGAACCTTGGCTCCCAGCAGTGTGGACACTTAAATATACTGCACAGGCACTGTAAGGAAAAGGATCTCAGGAAGAAAATTTGAACAAACTGAAGAAGATCCAGCAGTATAAAGAAACATTTTGCTACAAAATCTACTTTGCCTTCTGAACATTTTTAGAGATGATTTTCTTTTTTAAAAATAACAACAAAATATGGATATTAAAAAATCTCTTATTAACTTTTACAGTATGGATATACTTTACAACCCTTAATTTTGTTGCTAAAACCCTAACATTCAAAATCTAGCTTATTTTAGAAACCTGCCGTTTTGGTTACCTAGTGCCACTCTGACAAGAACATATACAAAGAGGATGGCCTTAACAAATAGGAGTTTGTTCTTTTATAGTTTGCAAGGCCAGAAGTCTGAGTTCAAAGTACCAGGTTCTAGGGGCTGTGTTAAAACCCCTCGACCTTGGCCTCCAGCTCTGCCTTTTGCTCCCAGCCTACTGAAGCTAGAGGCATCTCTTCGATCAGGCAGCTACTGGCTGCTGAGGCTAACAAGCCCAGGGTTGACAAATAAAATGGCACAGTCCTGATGTTACCAAACCACATGGCAGGCCATTAATTCAAGTCCATTTTAAGTCCCAAGGTCGGCAGGGCATGGCAGGCTGCTGAACAACAACACGGCACATGCAGAGTCCAAGTATGCCATAAGCTAGAGACCATTCCCAAAACTGTTTCTTATATATGGGAAGCAGACCACATACCCCAAGCAGCTACTCAGCTCCTCCAATAGATTCCACCATTGAGCTAATTACCAGTCTCACCATGAGGAATAACTACATTCAGCTGCCCAGCCACTCAACCAGGCATAGCCAAGTTGACACACAAACTTAACAACTATACCTGCTCTCTGAAAAGAGCAATCCCTAGGCTTGATACATAGCAAATTCAGGTTTGAAAGATATTTTTTTTTCAGTTTGCTCATAACAAAAAGTGGGTTTTTTTAAAAAAATATTAAACAACTTCTCCAAAACAATAAAAAAGACAACACAAAAAATGGGCAAATAAAGATAGTTGAATGGCCAAGAAGCACATGAAAAGGTGTTTAGTATCAACAGTCATTCGAATAAAAAAAAACTCACTGTCGTCAAGTCAGACCTGACTCATAGCGACCCCTCCTTGGGTTTCTGAGGCAGTATCACTATGGAAGTAGACTGCTCAACCTTCCTTCCAAGGAGTGGCTGGTGGATATGAACCACCAGCCTTCTGGTTAGCAGTCAAATGCCTTAGGCACTATGCTACCAGAGCTCCCTAACAGTCATTAGAGAAACTCAAATTAAAGCCACAATGACATACTATTTCATAAGCATTATATTGGCTAAAATGAAAAGACTGATAATTCTCATTCATTGCTGTCTGGAGTATAAAATGGTCCAACCACTTTGGAAAACTGTTTGATACTTTCATACAAATAAACAACTGTCCTATGACCCAGCAATTCCACTTTCAGGTTTTTACCCAAGGTAAATGAAAACATGTTCACAAGAAGACTTGTATAAGAATTTCATACAGCTTTGTCTTAGTTATCTACTGCTGGTATAACAGAAATACCCCAAGTATATAGCTTTAACAAACAGAAATCTATTTTCTCACAGTTCAGGAGGCTAGAGTCCAAATTCAAAGTGCTGGCTCTAGGGGAGGGCTTTCGCTTTCTGTTGGCTCTGGAGGAAGGTCCTTGTCTTTACTGAGCTTCTGTTAGGACATCTCTATGTGGCATTGAATCTCTCTTCCCTCATCTCTGCTTCTCTTCCTTGCTTGTTTAATCTCTTTTATATCTCAAAAAAGATTGACTTAAGACACACACCCTAAATTAACCCTGTCTTATTAACATAACAAAGAAAGCCCATTCCCAAATGGGATTTAACCACAGATACATGTTAGGGTTACAACACATATTTTTGAGGGGACAAAATTCAATCCATAACAAGCTTCAGTCACAATAGTCCAAAACTGGAAACAACCCAAATGTCCATCAACAGAAGAATGGACACATAAAGTTAGGTATATTCATATATATTCACACAGGAGCTCTGGTAGCATAGTGGTTAAATGCTTTGTTAGTGAGTGTTAACTGAAGGATTGGTGGTTTAAACCCACCAACCACTCCACAGGAGAAAGATGTGGCAGTCTGCTTTCAGAAAGATTTACAGCCTTGGAAAACCATGGGGCAGTTCTACTATGTGCTATATATATGTCACTAGGAGCAGGAATTGACTCAACTACAATAGGTTTTTTGGTTTACATTCATATTACTCATCAATAAAAACTATGAATACATGTAAGAACATGTACTAATATTAAAACCATTATGCTAAGTCACTGGACTGTACATGTGAAGACTGTTGAAATGACAAATGTTTTGTCATCTATATATTTGCCACACACACAAAAAGACAAACTATAAAAAAATATGCTAAGCAAAAGATTCCAGGGATAAAAGAATATATACTGTAATGATTCCATTTCTATGACATTCTAGATTAGACTAAACTAATCTATAGGGACAGAGAACAGATCAGTGGTTGGTTATATAAGACCTAGGACTGAGGTAGGAAATTAACTAAAAAGAGACACAAGAGAACTTTCTGGGATGATGGAAATGTTCTATCTTGTTTTGGGATATTAGTTACTCACATACATACAACTATCAAAATTCATCAAATCTGAATACTTAAGATCTATGCATCTTATTGTATGTGAATTATACCTCAATTTTTTTAAAGTTATTTTTTAAAAAAAGTCACAATACCCTAGAGATTCCACTTAAATGAAATATCTGTAGAGTAAGCAAATACATAAAGACAGAAAGTAGATTAGTTACCCTATGTGTTGGGGTAGGGAGTAATGGGGAGTTAACACTTAACGGATATAGTTTCTGTTTGAGGTGATACACAAATAGTGATGATGGTAGCAAAGCATTCTGAATATAACTAATGTCACTAAATTGTAAGCTTAAAATGGTTAAGATGGAAAATTTTATGCTGCATTTTTACCACAAAAAAAAAAAAAAAACCTAGAATCAGTGACTCTAGCAGGCTGTTGGGCATTTTCTACCCATACATAACTATATTTTAAATATACATCAGAAGTCTCTTGCATGTTTCTGTTTCATTTAATGTTTACTAAATACAAATACTAGGAGCTCTGGTAGCATAGTGGCTAAGGCACTTGACTGCTAACCAGAAGGCTGGCGGTTCAAACCCACCAGCCACTTCTTGGAAGGAAGATGGGGCAATCTACTTCCATAGTGATACCGCCTCAGAAACCCAAAGAGGGGTCGCTATGAGTTGGGTCCAACTTGACGGCACATAACAACAACAACAAATACAAATACTAAGGAGCTCTGGTGGCACAGTGGTTGAGGCATTTGGCTGCTAACCAAAAGGCTGGCAGTTCACACCCACCAAGCAATCAACAATCTACTTCTGTAAAAATTTACAGGCTTGGGTAAGAATTTCCAGGTATATAGTAGAGCTGACAAGGGACAAGGTTGTAGTTACTTCTTGGCCATAGCCAGCTATCCGGAGGGAGCAAGTAGTTGGACTTGTGCGCTCAGGACCATGGTTGCAGGGAATATCAAGTTCAACTGGCATAACATACTACACAAAAACACTGTTCAACATCCTACTTTGGCGAGTAGCAACTGGGATCTTAAAAGCTTGCTAGCGGCCATCTAGATGCAACGACGCGTCTCTCCTCATCCAGAGCAAAGAAGAATGAAGAAAACCAAAGATTCATGGAAACAGTCCAAGGGCCTGGTACACCATGAGATCCTCAGCCTATATGACTATGAGACCAGAAGAACTAGATGGTGCCTACCATTAACCACTCAAAGGTGGATCATTGCAGGAGATACTGGATAGACTGGGAGAACAATGTGGAACAAAATGCAAAATCATAAAAAAAAAAAAAAAGGACCAGGTTTGCTGGTCTGATAGAACCTGGTGAAATCCCTGAGACTATGGCCCCTAGCTGCCCTTCAGGTCTGGAACTGAACCCACTCCTGTGGCTTCCAGCCAAACAAAAGACAGGCATATGAGCTGAACATTTACATTAAGTAGATACACTCCTTGGAAAGATCAATCATGGGAGAATAGAAGGGCTATGTATGCACAGGGAGACAACTCAGGGGGCAGGAGTGCATGAGAGAGGACGACACAGGCAAGAGATAACTATGGGGAGGAAATGGGAAGAGAGCTGTTGCATTATGGAAAACTGTAGTCAATGTCATGAGACAAAGTGTATGTGAACTGCTATGTGGAAAATGAATTTGTTCTGTAAACTTTTATCACAACAAAAATTTGAAAAAAAAAAAAAGTTACAGCCTTGCAAACCCTATGAGGCAGTTCTACTCTGTCCTTTAGGGTTGATATTAGTCAAATCAACTGAATGGCAGTAGTTTTGTTTTTTTTTTTTAAGTATGAATGTTAATTTCAAAAATGTATCTATGAAAAGCTGGTGATTGATATTCATTTATCTATCCTACTCCAACAACAACAACAACAAAAATTAACTGAGCTAGAGCCAGAATAGATAATTTCTATTATAAAAAATTCAGACTAACTACAACCACTTAAACCTTTTTATCCTAAGGATTCTGATGGAATTATATTGTTGACAGCTTCCATTTTTCCACTAAACACAGAGAATCAGTATCATCAGTGTAAAAGGAAATTTTGCTGCAAATTTCTGAATGCTTGGTAAATCCTATAAAAAGAGACATTGCACTTTTCAGAAGAGCCTAATTTAAATTCATTAGATCAAAACACAAGGTCATGTTTAATTCAAAAGAATTATAAAAGCATAAGTGATATTTATGATTTATGGAAAATAGAAAATAAAAAGCAAGAGAAGCAAATAATTACTATCATACCCATTGAAAATATGCTGAATGAGTGGGTGAGTTGTCTTCATGTATACATCCCAATTGGTGCACGCCTCACCAAAGACTTCATCAAAATAAAAAACATGCTGAAAAATAAATTTGATTTTTATAGAAAGAGACATTTTCTGGATTCTCTTTACCACTTTTCTCATTAATACATAATAAAAGTACAAATACTTTTTTAACTAATGGTAACTGAACATGACAAAGTTAGAGATTAACAACTAATCAATCACTGTCACATGGCAAGGACTTCGTTTATTTGGGAGCACTGGTGGCACAAAGGTTAAGTGCTCAGCTGATAACTAAAAGGTTGATGGGTCAAACCCATCAGCTGCTACATGGGAAAAAGACATGGCATGGGGCAGTTCTACTTTGTCCTATGGGTCACTTTGTCCACAGGGTCACTATATGTCAGAATCGACTCAGCAGCAGTGGGTTTTGGTTCTTTTATTCAAGATATCTGTGGATATGTTTTTACAATGTACAAACTAAGAGCACACAATTTTTGTTCTTCCTTAACTGAAGCAAACTGATGAGTACAAGAGTGAGCCAATCCTCCTCAGGTACAGAAGAACAGAATTCAATAGGGATAATCTTCACAGCCATAGATGGCACATTTGAAACATCCTAGGGGGAGATCTTCATTCCACAGGTTACACAGCTTAACTTTTAATTCCATAACATTTATTTCTCAGCTGGTAGCACTGTATACTACAGTAGGCACTTCACGGCCAAAAACATATAGACTTTATTATTATTCTATTCTATCACCTGGAAGTGTTAATCAAGAACACAAAAAGTAGAACCTTAAGAGACAAAGTACAAAAAAAAAAAAAAAGAGAAAAAAAAAAGACAAAGCACACACAGAATTCAAAGGAGAAATATATTCCTTTTAACTGGGAAAAATATTATGAAAGAGACTGTACTGAAAACAGACCATGGGAGAAGAGGAGTTTGAGAGGTAGGGATGGAGTGAAGGAACATATTCTAGGAAAGGGGAAGCATGAGCAAAGGGTCAAAGCAGGATAGCTCAAGTAATGTTTAGAACCAAAACAAAAACCAAACTCACTGCCGTCGAGTTGATTCCAACTCATAGCGACCCCTCCTTGGGTTTCCGAGTTTAGAAAACAGCAAAAATTCAACATGGCTGAAATGCAGGATCTTGGTAGGTAGAAAAGTATGATGTAAGACTAGAATAATGAGTTGAGACTATGTTGTAAGGGTTTTGGGATGCTGGACTTAAGGGAATTGGCCAAGAGTTCATATTTAAATCATTAAACAGTGGAGACACAATTAAGGGCTTTGCAAAGGAAAGAGATGATCTGAGCCATCTTACTGGAAGATTAATCTGGGTATACACTTTGAATAGGCTTGCAACAGGGCCACTAGTAAGCCACTGGTGAGATTAGAAGGGTTGACATTAGATGATGGCAATGGAAATAAAGAGAAAAGAGATGCATGAGAATTTGGCAACTGACTGGATGTGAGGAACTGGCAGAGAAGAGTTCAAGATGCTTCCCAAAAGAAAAACCATGGTAACCTGGAAAAAGGGAGATAGGTCGGGAAGGCATTAATTCACTAGCTATAATGATTTAAACGATTTAGAAGCTTATGTTGGCAGCCCAACTACATCTGAGTTAAAAACCCTAACAATTTCAAGCCTGATTGTAGCAGAATAATGACAGTCCACATACGATGAATGAGGGAGGAGGACCTAATCCTCAGCCGCTTTTGGGGCCTGCACTAAATAACCATTTAAAGAAAAATTGTGTGGGCAGATACAGAAGACGGGACGTGGGCCAATTTACTATGGGTCATCCTACCCCAGATTTTATTCTATCTGTGTATATTACATTACTTTAGAACGAAAATCTGTTAGATCATCTGAGAAGAAACTGGGGTCAAAAAAACAAATTTATCAATCAGAAAAAATATCCCCAAAAGTTAGGAAGTGAGAAAATAATGAATCTGTGCAGATAAAGAGATCTGTGAATTTTTAGTGCTTTGAATGTGATGACTTTCAAAAACAGTAAAATTTTATTACCTGTTGAAGCAAGGTTCATTATACTTTTGATTAAGCTTGAAATGTCAACAATAAAAAGTTAAGTATATTTGTAAAGAGTTACATATATTTGTATAAAATCTGGTCTTACTGAACACTGATTTATATTTAACTCATAACTAGTCTCTTAGATAGGAGGCAAATTCATTCAATCATCAAACATCACCACAGGTTTTGTATGAGATTAAAAGCAAAAAGAAAAAAAAAATTATGTATATGTAATTATGGCATTCCTCAAGAACATTTTTTAAAAAATGAACAGAAGTAAATGTGGGAATACTTTTTTAAAAATTTTGCTTTGTTTTCTATTATTTCATTTAGTGTATGACAATCTTCTTCTATAAGTGCTTGTGAATGACTTCAGCTCTGGAGTAAATGCCTTAGAAAGCACTTATTGATGAAAGGAATTAGCATCTTTCCTTCCAAAAGAATATAGACATTCATTTTTCCAGTACATTTGTCAGTATCTCTCATGAATGATACGTGAACACACAAGATTATCATTATAATTTACGTCTGTCTACAAATCAAAGCCCTTTGTATCACATACACTTTCATTTAATCAAGCTTTCTCAATAAGGCTGGATTAATACCTACTTTGAACTTTATTTTAGCCTTGATATAATCAGACTTTCAGCGTTTATTTTATAAATAGGTTTTTCTCAGTTTATAAAAGTAATATGTGTTTATACACCAGGTCTGGAAAGATACAGGTGAAATAGGCAACATTTCTGACTTCAAGGAGGAAATGGGATTAGGCAGGGACTTTTCACTGCATACCATTTTGTATCTTTTGATTCTGAAATACGTGAATCTACCCTATTCAAGGAGCCCTGTGGCATAACAATTAAGTGCTCAGCTGCTAACCAAAAGGTTGGCAGTTCAAATCCACTAGTTGTTCCATGGGAGAAAAATATAGGTCTGCTTCTGTAAATATTTATAGCATTGAAAACCCTATGGGCAGTTTTACTCTGTCCTATAGGGTTACTGGGAGCTCTGGTAGCATAGTGGCTAAGGCACTTGACTGCTAACCAGAAGGCTGGCGGTTCAAACCCACCAGCCACTCCTCGGAAGGAAGGT